TTATTATTATTATTATTATTATTATTATTATTATTATTATTATTATTATTATTATTATTATTATTATTATTATTATTATTACTATTAATTATTATTATTAATTATTGTTTTTCCATTTTCGTATGCCCCGTCTGATTCAGACTCTGATAAAACCGTCTTTGGTCTGATTGGAACAATTGATTTTGTTTGTACTGGATGACTCCGGCTTCGTATCTTTCCATTTTTCTTGCTGTTGCTGTTATCTGCTGCTTCACAATTTCCAATGCTTCGTGAATTTTCCTTGCGCTGAGCCCATATTTTTTTTTATCGGATGTTTCTTGATCTTGCTGTTCTTCAGCTTTTCCTCCTGCAAATGCTTCAAGTTGCTGGAATCTGCTTGCAGGCTCTTGATTTTCAATTCCAACCTGATTTTCCACTGTGCTTTTTTCCAGTCGATTTTCTAGCGGGCTGCGGCTGTTGAATCCCCAGTTCTTCTGTTACTATGACTGCTTGTACTGTAGGCAAACTGATTTGTTTGTTCAGTTGATGTTATCTGGACTGCATAATATCAAGCACGGGCAAGTGAAAAATGTGGTCAGCAAAGAATACACGCAAAGGGTCAGAAAACTTCTAAAACCCAAACTGAATGGCGGTAAACACCATAACCGTCATCAGATATACTGCTGGGATCATAAACTGGACACAGGCAGAGCTGGGCAGCTTGGATAGGAAAACAAGAAAACCGATGACCATACACTATGCGCTGCACGTTGACAGGCTGTATTTGCCCAGGAAAGCAGGCGGCAGAGGACTTTTGCAAGTGAAGCAGACAGTCGAAGAAGAGAAGTACGCTCTGGCAGATTATGTGAAAGACGGTGTTGAACCAGCTATGATGGAAGTCAACAAGAGGAAGCTGCTCAAAGTGCAGCAAAGCAAGAATCAATATAGGAAAACAGCGATGCAAACTCGGGCTGACAGCTGGTGTAGCAAAGCACCGCCTGGACAGTTCCTTGAAAAGATCCAAGGAAAAGTAGACAAGGAAAAGACCTGGTTATGGCTGACCAACGGAACCCTGAAGAAAGAGACAGAACAATGCAATCAAAGCCAGAATAGAAAAACCTGCTGATGACCCCAAATGCAGACTCTGCAAAGAAGCGGACGAAACCATCGATCACATACTGAGCTGTTGCAAGACAAAAACTCAGACTTGACTACAAACAACGTCATAACACAGTCGCTCAGATGGTCCACCGGAACTTGTGTCACAACTACCATCTGCCTGTAGCAAAGAACCGGTGGGATCGTAAGCCTGAAAAAGTGGTCGAAAATGAGCATGCAAAACGACTGTGGGGACTTCCGAATACAGACTGACAAAGTTCTGGAACACAATACCCCGGATATCACGTTTGTGGAGAGGAAAAAAGTGTGGATTGTTGACATTGCCCTATCTGGTGACAGCAGAATCGGCGAGAAGCAACTTGAAAAAGTTACCAGATATCAGGACTTGAGAATTGAACTGCAGAGACTCTGGCATAAACCAGTGCAGGTGGTTCCAGTGGTACTGGGCACACTGGGTGCTGTGCCTAAAGACCTAGGCAAGCACTTGAAAACAGTTGGCGCTGACAAGATCACCCTTGGTCAGCTGCAGAAGGCCACCTTACTGGGATCTGCCCGCATAATCGGCCGATACATCACGCAGTCCTAAACACTTGGGAAGTGATCGACTAGTGATTTGTGATACGAAACCCAGCGTGGTTATCTCGTTTGCTGTGTACACTGTCGTTTTTGTGTATAATAACAACAACTACAACAACTACTGCTGCTACTACTGTTATTATTCCTAAAACAGATTCATTCATCCAACCCACCCTGAAAAACTTATTTTATTTCCATCTGCAACGGCTCTCGATGACCTCTTGACTGGGGACAAAACCCGAGAGATTATTATCAAAAGGAAACAGGCCGACCCATCTGTAGGAATCAATTTGAGGAGCGGATTTGTAAACATTTATTGTTTGCAAGAGGGGGTGGGAGGGACATTCCCAGCCAAAATCACACGTGCAGCTTGGAACAGGCCCGAACTCCACAACTTGGATGCACAAATTCCAAATTTATTATACGTCCTAAATTTAAACCTATCAAGAGTGGCAGATTGGGGGGGGCTGCTTTAACTGATATGCAAGCAGCAATCAAACCAGGTTTTAGTACAGGCGAGAGGATTACCAAAGTGAGTTTTGCCGCGTTTTACCAACCTTTCTTGCCACAGTTGTTAAGTGAATCACGCAACCAATCAATATGGGATTAAACATCAAAAGAGCCACGGAGATGGTCTCAAATACAGGCAGTCCTCAGCTTACGATCGTTCATTTAGCAACTGTTCAAAGTTACCATGGCACTGGAAAAAAAACCTGAGCTGTGACGGCTTTTCACCCTTATGACCATCACGTGAAGTATTAGTACCGCTTTATAAAGCCTTTGTAAGGCCACACCTGGAATATGGCATCCACTTCTGGTCACCATGTTACAAAAAGGGATAGAAAAAGTGCAAGCAAGCAAGGAAGGAAGGAAGGAAGGAAGGAAGAGGAAGGAAGATAGGTTTGGAAGGAAGGAAGGAAGGAAGGAAGGAAGGAAGGAAGGAAGGAAGGAAGGAAGGAAGGAAGGAAGGAAGGAAGGAAGGAAGGAAGGAAGGAAGGGTTTTAAGATGATCAAAGGCCTGGAGACTAAAACATATGAAAAAAGGTTGCCAGAACTGGGTTTGGCTAGTCTACAGAAAAAAACGACTAAGGGGGGACATGACGGCAGTCTTCCCGTATAGGAGGGGCTGCCCCAAAGAAATTTATTTTCGAAGCTCCTGAAGGCTAAGAGAAGAAGCAACAGATGGAAATTGATTAAAGAGAGAAGTGACCTGGAACTAAGGAGAAATTTCCGAACCGTAAGGACAATTCACCAGCGGAACTGCTTGCCACCAGAAGTTGTTGGGTGCTCCAACGCTGGAAGTTTTTAAGAAGAGGTTTCAGACTACACGAGCCCCAGGGGGTTGGGATAGAAGACCTCCAAGGTCCCTTCCAGCTCTTATTCTGATTGACAGCATGCGTACGGTCCAGGCTTCCGATAAGCTTCCCAGCGAGTGAAGTCAATGGGGGGGAAAGTCGGATTCGCTTAACGATGGTGCGATTCACTTAACAACCGCACAAGCAGCTTAACTGATCCTGCAGTTGTAAAATCATGTGCGGCTCACTTAACAACCGCCCTGCCTAGCAAGAGGAATTCTGCTCCCCACTTGAGGTCGTACTCTCATCACCCTAGGCCACTGTCCCCAGTTGGCTTCCAACTAGCAGCGGGGGGATTCACTTAACAACGGCAGTCATTGGCTGGAGACCCAGGCAAAAGGTTGTCAAAATTGGGCCGTGTAATGTTGAATGATCACTAAACAGTTATAAGTAGAGGACGACCTGTATGCAATTGTGTGTAGAAAAAGAGAAACAAAAAGAAAACAAGATAAAAAAAGAACAAATAAAAAGTATAAAAATAAACACACAGACACACACACACACAAAACAGACACAAATTCAATACTGAAGTTGTGGGTGCCCCAACACTGGAAGTTTTTAAGAAGAGATCGGATAAGCATTTGTCTGAAATGGTGTAGGGTTTCCTGCCTAGGCAGGGGGTTGGACTAGAAGACCTCCAAGGTCCCTTCCAACTCTTATATTCTGTTCTATTCTGATAAATATATTTCAAGGAAAAGAGTTTCCCTCCCCTTGCAAAACAGGCCGACAGATTATGAATATCTACAACTCTGTTTTCCCAACCAAGCATCTATCTACTATATATAAAAACCACCAACAGAGTTAGCTGGCAAAGCCAAGGAGCAGTGTTAAACTTCAAAGTCTGTTGTTATTCAAGACTGTGTAGCTTTTGTTTTGAGGGTGACTGCTATTTTTTCTCTCCAATGTACACTGTGTGTATCTCTCTCTCTGTGTATGTGTTGTGCCTATGTGCTTCTGCGGCCCTCTTGGTTCGGCACTTCACAAAGGACCCAGGTTGCCTTCCTAAATTAATGGTCCACCCCATGGACCTTGATGTTCCTTGATTCCTAATAATTATTATAATAAATAAAATTCATAAATTTCCCAGGAAAGTAGGCAGGAAGAACACAGGTGTGTGTGGGGGTGCCTTTGGTGGAGAGGTTGGTCAGGAGAAAGGGGGAAGGAAGGAAGGAGGAAAGAAAGAAGAGAAGGGAAAGGGAAGGGAAGGGAAGGGAAGGGAAAGGAAGGAAGGAAGGAAGGAAGGAAGGAAGGAAAGAAGGAAAGAAAGAAAGAAAGAAAGAAAGAAAGAAAGAAAGAAAGAAAGAAGGGAGGGAGGGAAGGAGGGGGGAAGGGGAAGGGAAGGGAAGGGGAAGGGACGGGAAGGGGAGGGAGGGAGGAAGGAAGGAAGGAAAGAAGGAAGGAGCCCCTGACTCAATGAGAAGGAAGGGACTTTTCAAAGATAATTTTGTCAAAAATTTCAATTTTAATTGGGTGTTTTTAAATGCAATTGAGACTTGCCAAGACACCACATGGGATTCAAGCTGACCCTCTGAGAAGGGGCTTCTTAAAGATAATTTTTTTTAAAATAAAAAACGTTTTTTAATTTGTGTTTTTTAAGCATAACTGAGACTTGCAAAATACAGGATGGGATTCAATGAGAAGGAAGGGACTGTTTTAAAATATACATATTTTAATTTTTTTTTAAAGTTTCAGTTGGGTGTTTTCAAACACAAAAGGAGACTTGCCAAGATACGGTTGCTAGGGCTTATCTCTATAAACTATGTCCTGGTGCAGTCGAACTTTCCTGATCTGTTTTTTCTCCCTGCCCCCCCCCATCCCCCCCCCCCCCCCCCCCGCCCCCCCCCCCCCACGAGGAGAATAACCAGAGACTCACTTGTGTTTGGGGGCGTCTTCCTCCTCCTCCTCCTCCTCCCGGCTGTTGACTTTCAGCAGCTTCACCTGCGGCGCCTCACTCTCGTTTTGCTGGGGAGGGAGGGAAGGAAGGAAGGAAGGAGTGAGAGAGAGGGAAAAAGAAAGAAGAGAATTAACAGGACACGGGTACTCCTCGATTTATGACCACACTGGAGCCCCCCAAAGGTCTGACGCTAAGTGAGGTGGGGTGGCGGTCAAGGGGTTTTTGGCCCGTTTGACGACCGATCTCACTGCAGTCGTTAAGTTAGTAACATGGTCATCAAGTGAATATGGCTTCCCCACTGACTATCATCAGAAGGGCGCAAAAGGGGATCATGTCAGCCCCTGGACACTGCAACGGTCATAAAATACCTGTGACAGTGTTGGAAGGGTCTTTGGAGATCACCTAGTCCAACCTCCTGATCGATCGATCGATTCTGTCTGTCTGTCTGTCTATCTTTTTTCTCTTTCCTTTCCTTTTTTCTTTAATACCTCCCACTTTCCCTTTCTTTTCTCTTTCTTCTTCTCTTCCTCCCACCTTCCCTTCTCTTTCCTTCCTTCCTTCCTTCTTCTCTTCCTTCCTTCCTTCTTCTCTTCCTCCCACCTTCCCTTCTCTTTCCTTCCTTCCTTCTTCTCTTCCTCCCACCTTCCCTTCTCCTTCCTTCCTTCCTTCCTTCCTTCCTTCCTCTCTTCCTCCCACCTTCCCTTCTCTCTTCTTCCTTCCTTCCTTCTTCTCTCCCTCCCTCCCTCCCTTCCTCTGACTGGCCTCTCCAGAGGGCCCCCCCCCCCCCCCCCCCCTTAATGCTTAATGAGAAGAGGGGCCTCCCCTGCACACCCATAAACCCCCCCCCCCTTGCAATCCGATCCTTCCTTCCCCCCTGTCATTTTCAGGGTCAGAGATAAGGGAGGGGAGAAGGGCCGCCTGGTCAGACCTTACCAGGTTATCGGGAGGGGAGGTAGCCCCTCACTTTGGGAGGGGGGGGAGCAGGGCTGGAGAGAACAGGGAGGCTGTCCCCTTCCTCCCCCCCATCCAAGGACAAGAAAGCAATTATGGGCAGCCCTCCATTTGCAACCGTTCGTTTAGTGACGGGCATTATCGTGGCAAAACTGGCGTGTCTCCGGGTTTCACACACTTCCACCAAGCGAAGTCGAGGGGGAAGCCAGATTCACTTAACGACCGTGTAACTAATTCAACCACTGCAGCGACTCACTTAACAACTGGGTCAAGAAAGGTGGCAAAAATGGGAGCAAAACTCACTTAACAACCATCTCGGTTAGGCATGGAAATTTGGAGCTCGACTGTGGTCGTTAAGCCGAGGACTGCTTATGACCCCTGTACGGACCGGAAATACAAGGGTTTGTTGTTGTTTTTTTGGCAAGACTCCTTGATTTTCAAGCACCGCGAAAAGACAAGAGGGACCTTTTGAATTACACAAACCATTCTGCATTTAAAATTGTGTGTGTTTGTCTGTATAAACTTTCTGAGGACAGCCTGAACGGATATCGAGCCAAGATGCAGCTCACCGCTGCGGAGGAGGAAATTCGAGGGCTTCCTATCACTTTTGTGTTAAAAGCGCATCGCGGAGGAGGGCCTCTTGGTGGGCGTCCGTTTCCTGCCTTTTCACCCCCGTTGCCAGCGTGAACTCAGCTCGGGAGCGTGCCAATTGCTGGGCTCCTCCATGAAATAAAAATAAAACCAAAGTGGGGAAGTGGCAAAACTCTACTCTGACTGGCAAAATTCACCTGCAGGCCGGTTCCTTGTGGGTGTGGGCTTTGGCACACGTTAATTAAAACGTTACAGTTTGGGTGCAAAGAAAGATCATCCGTACGTGATTTTTTTTTTTCCTGCAGTTGATCATCATTTTCTCCAGTCGATCATCATTAATCATTTTTCCAAGCAGGGAAAAAGTTTGCTTGCTTGGCTCCAAACTTTAAAAATTACAACTACTAGGCATCTACCAATACAAGCAGCGCTCGACTTAGGACCACAATGGAGGCCAACATTTCTGTCACTAACCGGGAAAGTTGTTAGGTGAGCTTGGCACCATTTTACGATCTTTCTCGGAATCGTTAAGCCAATCACTGCAGTCGTTCAGTTCGGTACACGGTTGTTAAGCGAATCTGGGCTTCCCCCATCGGCTTTTGCTTGTCAGGGGGGCGCAAAAGGGAATCACGTGAGCCCCACGACATAGCGACCATCATAAATATGAGTCAGTTGCCAAGGGGCCAAATTTTGATCACGTGGATGCTGCAACGGTTTAAGTGTGGAAAACAGCCGTATGTCCCTTTTCCCCAGTGCTGTTGTAACTTCGAATGGCCACTAAATGAACCGTTGTAAGTCAAGGACTGCTTACAAAAACCAAGAGGTTAAATTTTAAGGGGGCAAAAACGGGTCCACTGTTAGGTTGGTGGAATGTGGCTCTGCGTGCCGTTAATTCTGCTAGCCCTTGTAAACTGTCCTGTGCTTAAAGCTACCGGTTTTCGCTCTGGGTTTATGCGCAATTAATCCTCCCTTCACTTAGTTATTTATACCGAGGCTCCGGCTGGCGCCAACCAGTTTAAAAATATAACTGCAAGTTTTCAAGGCTTGTCAGATCTTCTGGGCCAAACCCAAAACCTTTCTCCACCTTTTGCTGAGAGCGAAACGGAACAGAAGGTGGTTTTGGAAATAAAAGAAGTGGGACGGTTAGAACAGAGGTGGTTTAATCCTGGCCAAGCTGGATCGCTTAGGACCTAATGACCCTGAGGTGGAAAATTAGAAAGACACCTTGGAAAAGTGTGTGCAAATCCATTGGTTATATTTTGTTGTCACAAGAAACCAGGGAGGGAAATTAAGGTGCCTCTAGGCTCACATTCTCCATACAGAAGTATATTTTGTAAATAAATCATTTCATTGCTAGCCTGATTTTTCCCAAGCTGCATTTCCCCCACCGATTCGAAGCGTTGAATTAGGAGGAGACAGGAGTCATGGTTGAGGAAGAGCAGAAATCTAGCATCTGCAAGGCATCAGGCTAGAAACTAGGGGGATGCGAGTTTTAGTCCTGATTTAGGTATGAAACCTGACTGGGCCACTTTGGGCCAGTCACCAGGAGACGGTGAGTTCTAGACCCACCTTAGACATGAGAGCCGGCTGGGTAGTTTTGGGCCAGTCACCAGGAGAAGAAGGTGAGTTCTAGTCCCATACTAGACATGAACACCAACTGGGTGAGTTTGGGTCAATCACCAGGAGAAGAAGGTGAGTTCTAGTCCCACATTAAACATGAAAACAATCATCAAAGGACAGTGAGTTCTAATCCCACCTTAGGCAGGAAAAATCACTGGGCTTTCCTCCCTCTCAGCCCAACCCAACTCACAGTGGTGGCGTTGTGGGGAAAACCGGAGGAAGAAGGAACATTAGATAATATTTTGTAAGGCGGGATAAACCATAGCTGGAGGTTTTCAAGAAGAATTTGGGGTCTATCCAGGATGGTATAGAGTGTCTTGCTTCAGCAGGGGTCTAGACTAGATAACCTCCAAGGTCCCTTCCAACTCTATTATTCCACTACCAGGAAAAAGAAAAAAGGGATAGATTGTTAATGGGATTTGAAATCAAGCTTAGATTTTTCCTCTCCTGTGTATTTTCTGGGACAAATATACCTGGATGTCCCTTGCTAGACTAAATGAGAGCTTCTAGGGACTTTTTGTGACTCTGCACAATGAACCACAAGCACACCTGGCCACCAGCCCCGTCCACCGAGATGGGAGTTTCCCATCAGGGTAGAGAACGTGCAAATTCCTCTGGCTGGCTATGGTCAAGGTTCTCCAATCCCAAAGGTGTCAGAACTGTAATTCCCAGGACCCCAGAGCATGCCGGAGGCAGGAGGGTGGGGGCTGCGGCCTTAAAACATGAACAATTAGTCCTCAACTTACATCAGTTCATTTAGTGGCTACTCAAAGCTACAACAGCCCTGAAAAAGAAGTAAACTTATCGCAGCATCACCCATGGTTACGTGATCAAAATTCAGATGCTTGGCAACTGGCTTGTTTTTAATGACAGTTGCAGTGTCCCGGGTGTGTGTGTGTGTGTGTGTGTGTGTGTGTGTGTGTGTGTCACGTGATCCCCTTTTGTGACCTTCTGACGAGCCAAGTCAATGGGAAAGCTGGATTCACTTGTGACTGACTTAAGAACTACAGGGATTCATTTAACGACTGTGGCAAGGAAGGTTATCAAATGGGGTTTAACAACCGTCTCACTTAGTGAGAGAAATTTTGTGCTCAATTCTCCTGGTAAGCCAAGGACTACCTGTAGAAGGTATCAGGCTGGGGAAAAGCGATGTAGATTAGTGTGTGTGTGTGTGTGTGAGAGAGAGAGAGACATGTCTGAAAAGAGGATAAAGCCTAACTTTAATCTAATCTCATCCAATTAGACAAAATCGGATTTCAAAAGAGCTCTTATCGTATCTCACAGCCAAGGTTTCCAACCTGGACTAATTCGAGACGTGGGGCCTTCAACTGCCGGGATCCCCGGCCACGTGGTAAGCTCAGGCCCACCGCCTACCCCTCCCTCCTCTGGAAGTTGTTTAGTTAGGTATTGTGCACCTGCGTAATAATAACCCCTTTCCGCTGTTCCTGCCCCCTTCGGATTTAATTTGTGGCTTTGAGCCATGGGTGGTCCTTGACTTACGACCACCGCTGAGCCCAATGTTTCTGTTGCAAAGCGAGACAGTTGTTACGGCAATCTCACCCCACAGATTTGGGACCTTTTTTGTCAGGGAATCCAAGCAGTTGTTCAGTTAGTCCCACGGCTGTGAACTGAATCTTGGTTTCCCCATCGACGGTGCTGATCAGAAAGTCACTAAAGGGGATAACGTACGGCACTGCCATCTCATAATGCTGCAAATCGTTAAGTGTGAGGACTGGTTGCAATTAGTGACACTGTAACCTCAGGAAGTCACTAAATGAATGGTTGTAAGCCGAGGATTGCCTGTGATCCAAGGTAAATACTCAATACTCGGGGAAGAGCTGTCTTGAAGATTTATACCCTGATTGGAATTCAGGCCAGTAGTTTATACTTGACTTCAGAATGGATT